AACAACTCAGGGTCAGCATTAACAGGCAGCATTACTGGACATCTGCTGAGGCCCAACACCCAGTGAAGAGCCCACCAAAGATTAGGGTTACCAACAGGGGTCATTTCGTAGAAAAAGAGCTAGGGGAACTCATTAGCATAACTCCTTAGCATATGCCACACCCCCTGACATCACCGGGAGTGTGTCATAAGGCCACACCCACTGACATCACCGGAAATGTGTCATAAGGCCACACACCCCGCCCCCAACAGTCCTGGCCGCCACCGCCAGCCTAGCAGCTCCACTGCCGAGCCCCATGAGGGGCCCAGCGGTGGACCTGCAAGGCCGGCGGGAGTGCAAGGAAGCCCCGCGAAGGCCCTCCCTGGTCCCAGGCAGGCAGGGGTGGGGAGAGGCAGGGAGGAAGCAACTTACCCTCCCTCTTCTCCTGCCTCCTCCTGGCTGAATGAGGGCCGGAAGCGGGGCGGCTGGAAGCAGGGGGCCCCCCCAAATTACCTCTGGTTACCAACTCCAGGCTGGGAAATTCCTGGAGATTTGGGGGGTGGAGCCTGGGGAAACCGCCACAGTCCATCCTCCAAAGTAGCCATTTTCTCCGGGGGAGCCGAACGCTGGAGTCTGGAGATGAGTCGTAATTCCAGGAGGTCTCCAGGGCTCAGGAGGCCGGTTGGCAATCCCTACCAGTCATGGGTGGCCCCACCAACTCCCACCAGTTATGGGAGACTGCCCTGGAGTCCCTTGTGAAAGCTCAGAGTTGGGGTTTCAGGGAGCAAGAGACAGCAATATCCCGTGGTCTCCCCAGATACTAGGGTTACCAGAGGTCCTCTTTTTAGAGGACATGTCCAGGCTGTGGAAGGTCAGTAGTTCAGCAGTTTGAGACCCAGGTGCCGCAAGACGGAGTGAGCTCCCGTCTCTGGCCCCAGCTCCTGCCAACCTAGCAGTTCGAAAGCAAGAAACTGCAAGGAGATAAATAGTTACCACTTCAGTGGGAAGGTAACAGCGTTCCGTGCGCCTTGGTGTTTAGTCATGCCGGCCACATGACCACAGAAACGTCTTCAGACAGCGCTGGCTCTTCGGCTTTGAAACGGAGATGAGCACCGCAACCCTAGAGTCGGATTCGACTGGCTTTCGAGCAAGGGAACCTTTACCTTTGCTTTTACCTCTTTTCTTGGTGTCCGTCCTCTTTTATTTTGGGCTCTTTATTAAAAAAAAAAAAAAAAAACCTGATGAAAATGTCCTCTTTTGGGTTTGGAAGGCTGGGAATATTCCTCATGAGTAGAAATTATCACAGCTTAAATAGTCGGGGTTTTTTAAATGAGGTTTGTCACCGTGATCACTTGTTTGAAGGAGACAGTCAGGAAATAGGTCCTCTTTTTCGCTTTTCAAAATCTGGCAACCCTACCAGATACTCATCCGACAGGATATGACAGAGCATGCCGGAGAGCTCTGAGATACCACTGCAGCCTTTTTGGACGATCTCCCATTTCCCACTGGGAGAAGCACAAGAGATAGTGAGGTAGAGTACTTTCACACAGGGGTCATTTCTTAGAAAAAAAGCTAGGGGAACTAATTAGCATAACTCATTAGCATATGCCACACCCCCTGACATCAGGGGCCCGGCGGTGGACCTGCAAGGCCAGCGGGAGTGCGAGGAAGCCCCGCCAAGGCCCTCCCTGGCCCCAGGCAGGCAGGGGTGGGGAGAGGCGGGGAGGAAGCAACTTACCCTCCCTCTTCTCCTGCCTCCTCCTGGCTGAATGAGGGCTGGAAGCGAGGCGGGCGGAAGCAGGGGGCGGGGCTTCATCATGTGCCCCGCCCCCCATCCCTCACCCGGGGGAACTGCGATCCCCCGCGATCCCCCCCAAAATGACCTCTGATGACGGGGTTCTGACAACCTGGGGGACTCAATGTGGCCCCAGGGGTTTCTCATCTAGGCCCTAGCATCTCCCATTAATGCCGGGCTATAAAACCTGCTGCTCTCTAGGGAACCAAATACAGCTCTTTAAGCATGTTTGAAGAGTAGGTGGGATGCTAGACTAAACAGTACATGAAGGGAATGGCAAACAAAGATTTTTATGGGACGACCGGTTTCTTAAGAGATGCTTTTCAGAAAGGGAAATGACAGAAGTTAACAGTTGCTAGTAATCCAAGTGGGAACCACACAGAGATTTATGCCAGTGCACTAAAACAATTGCAGAGGGCCCTCCTGTGTGTATTTATGACTTACTGTGAAATCGTGCATGGGTCACTTCCTGACAAACCCTGCACAGGCGCTAGTGTTTGCGCTGCGGACAAGTTCTGAGTAATCAAACAACATGTTGAGCCATAAGAACACAAGAAAAGCCATCTTGGATGAGACCAAAGACCCATCCAATCCAACACTCTGTGTCACACAGTGGCTAAAACCCAGGTGCGGTTAGACGTCAGGTCCACAAGGTCCCTTCCAACTCTAACATTCTATGATTCTATGTCAGATCTGGCCCTCATAACAAATGAGTTTGACACCTCTGCTCTAGAGCTTCCTCTGTGTGTCGCAGAGGCATCTGCACATAAGGGCAGCCTGCCCGGGGAGGGGGACCACTGGAGGCCCATCATGCCCAGGGCCCCCAAAACCTGAAGTGGGGCTGGCACAGGTTGTTTCCGTATTCTGGGGGAGGGAGTGAAAAGGGACAGTTAATCTGTAACAAATGACAATGCAAAACACAAATTAAAAAATTCAAGACTGCAGTCCATGCACACTTACATGGGAATAAACACTGCTGAACTGTGAGACTTACTTCCAAATAAACATGCATGGGATTAGGTTGTCAAGATGCTGCACATTCCTAGTTTGTCCAACACTTTGCCATCAGTATGTAAGCCCCCCCCCCTCAATTTAATTAATGAACACCAAGCCTGAACTCCCCCTAGAACCTAAAATGACTAAACTGAGGTGAAAAGTACGCAGACGGAGAGTGATTTCAGCAAAGCGTACTTTATTCGATCAGGAACAAGACAGCTTTTGCCAGCATGCAGGCCGGCTTATATTCCCCGTGAAACCGCCACCCATAACACCCCCCCACTTCCCAAAAGGTTATTTACAGGGGCTGAGAGTTCCATAGGCTCACGGCCGGGACCTAGCCCCCTGATTGGTGCGGGCTAGGATCCGCATAGTCTATTGTCTCTAAGACGAAGCTCGACGTTTGTGCTTGACCGCGTGGATCCCTAGCCGGCCACGCGGTCTGACTGGATATATTACATGAGGTTTACCATACTTTGGTCACATTATGAAAAGACAAGAGTTACCGGGAAAGACAACAAAGCTAGGAAGGAGAAGGAAAAAGAAGAAGGAGAGGGGAGGAGGAGGAGGAGGAGGAAGAAGAAGAAGAAGGAAGAGGGGAAGAAGGAGAGGAGGAGAGGAGGAGGAGGAGGAAGGAAGAGGGGAGGAGGAGATTGGATTCATACACTGCCCTTCACTTGAAGAAGAAGAAGAGATTGGATTTATACCCCGCCCGTCACAACCCAAAGGTGTCTCAGAGCAGCTTACAATCTCCTTTCCCTTCCCCTCCCCACAACAGACACCCTGTGAGGTAGGTGGGGCTGAGAGAGCTCTGACAGAAACGGCTCTTTTTTCAAGAACAGCCCTTATCAGAACTACGGCTTGCCCAAGGTCATCCAGCCAGAGTGCAAGTGGAGGGGGGGGGAATCAAACCTGGTTCTCCCAGATAGAGTTCGCACACTTCACCACTACACTAAACTGGTATACTTGGAAGGAGTCTCAGAGCAGCTTACAATCTCCTTTCCCTTCCCCTCCCCACAACAGACACCCTGTGAGGTAGGTGGGGCTGAGGGAGCTCTTTCGAGAACTGCCCTTGAGAGAACAGCTCTGAGAGAACTTGTGACTGACCCAAGGTCACACCAGCAGCTGCATGTGGAGGAGTGGGGAATCAAACCCGGTTCTCCCAGATTAGAGTCCGCCCTCCTAACCACTACACCAAACTGCCCCCCCCCAACTGGTGCTCCTAATCACTACACCAACCTGGAAAAGATGAAGGCAGCAGGAAAAGAGGATCATAAGAAAAGGCCCTGCTGGATCAGACCACTGGTCCATCTAGTCCAGCATCCTGTCTCACACAGTGGCCAACTCTGAACAGCCAACAAAAGGGCATAGAGGTCAAAGCCTTCCCCTGATGTTGTATCCTTGGTCTGGGACTCAGAGGCTTAGTGCCTCTGAATATTGAGGCTCCCCTCAGTCACCATGGCTAGTAGCCATTGACAGACTTATCCTGCATGAATCTACCTCACCCCTTTTTAAAGCTGCTTATTCCTGTGGCCATGACTACGTCCTCTGGCAGTGAGTTCCACATTTTAATCACTCTCTGTGTAAAGCGGTATTTCCTTTTGTTCATCCTGAACCTACTGCCCGTCAGCTTCATGGGACGCCCTCGAATTCCAGTATTTTGGGAGACGGAGGAAAATTTCTCTCTGTCAACTCTCTCCATTTTGTGCATAATTTTATACACTTCTATCATCTCTCCCCAATAAACCGGCATAGGATTAGGTTGTCAAGATGCTGCATGTTCCTAGCTGGTCCAACACTTGGTCATCAACATGTAAGCCTCCCCCACCCCAAAAAACATGAATGAATGAAGACCAAGCCTGAATACTCTCCCTAGAAGCTAAAAGGACTAAACTGAGGCTATTGTACTTTGGTCACATTATGAAAAGACAAGAGTCACTGGGAAAGACAATAAAGCTAGGAAATGTCGAAGGCCGCAGGAAAAGAGGAAGACCGTGAGATGAGTTGACTCACTCAAGGAAACCCCGTGGGCCCTCAGTCTGCAAGACCAGAGCAAATCCATTAACGATAGAATGTTTTGGAGGCCAGAGCTATTTTTGGGCAGGAACGCACAGGAACGGTGTTCCGGCTGGCTTCAGAGCTGGCCACGCCCACTACAGCCAAAACCTCTGCATGTGTGGCCACAGAGGAAAGGCCTGGAAAGCGACCCACCCCCCCATTTAAATGCCTCCCCGTGCCTGCCCCGGCCTGTCCAAGGGCCCGGGGCGCCTGGGCAAGCCAAGGGAAGGCATGGGGTGTGACCTAATATGCTAATGAGTTTCTGCTGATGGGTGTGGCCTATTATGCTAATGAGTTCCTGATGGGCTTTTTCTGCAAAAAAAGCCCTGTGGAGGACTAATTCATAGGATTGCTGTTATGTCGGCATTTAACAGCATTTAACACAAATAATTTCATCTATCTTCTTTGGACTTGGTAGAGAGGCTGCCATGTTAGCCTGGTGCAGCAAAACAGAATAGCGGTCTGGGGGCATCTCATGGCCTAACAAAATTTATTTATTTATTTATTTTTCGTACTTATACCCCGCCCTCCCCAGTGGGCTCAGGGCGGCTTACAGAGGCAAGAACAACTTGCCATGGTAAAACAATATATACATAACAATTTAAAACATATGCTACATATTAAAATCTAATAACAAAGTGCTCAGTGCCATTCATAATCTAAAGATGGTGGATCGCATGTCCAAAGTCCCAAGAAGACGGCAGAAGGATTTTTCCATAGTAGGTGTTTAATCGGGACCTAAGGGCGGTGGTGGTATAGTAGGGGCGGCGGCTCCTACTCGAAAGCCTGGCGGAAGAGCTCCGTCTTGCAGGCCCTGCGGAACTGCATAAGATCCCGCAGGGCCCTGATCTCCTCCGGGAGCTCATTCCACCTGGTAGGAGCCGCCACCGAAAAAGCCCTGGTCCTCGTGGCGGCTAGTTTGACATCCTTAGGGCCCGGGATGACTAATAAATTTTGGGCCCGACCGTAGTGCTCTTGGGGGAACATACGGGGAAAGGCGGTCCTTCAGGTAGGTTGGACCCTGGCCATGTAGGGCTTTATAGGTAGCGACCAGCACTTTGAAGCAAATCCGGTACGCTATTGGCAACCAGTGCAGTGCTTTCAGCGCAGGCCGCACATGGTCCCTTCTGGAGAGACCCATTAACAGCCTGGCTGCAGCATTCTGCACCAGTTGCAGCCTCCGGATTTGCGACAGAGGCAGCCCCATGTAGAGAGCATTGCAGTAGTCTAACCTCGAGGTTGATTGATTCCAGAATAAACCTTTGTGAGTCAGAGCTCACTTCATTAGATGCAACATCAGAGCACTGATACGTGACAGCGAATGCTGGCGCTCTTGTTAGTCTTGAAGGGTCACTGGACTCCGGACTAAGTTTGACCTGTTAGGTAATTTTTCGCCATATAGGTAATGTCCCCCAAGTTTTACCTAAGAGGTAAAACCAGAACAGCAGCAGGTTGGTACCATACAGTAGCAAGCTATGCTTCAATGAAGAAATCCCAATTAACTCAAGGTGTCCCTTTCAGAGAATTTGGCTAAATTCTACCCCAGTATGCACAAGGTAGCAGCCTGATAGCCCAGCCTAGCCAGATCTTGTAAGCAGTGTTCCCTCTAAGCTGAGTTGGTGTGAGCTAGCTCATAGTTTTTTAGCCTCCAGCTCACAGATTTTTTTGTCATGGCTCAGGAAGGAGGGCTCCAGAGCAAACTAATCTATTCAGTAGCCAAATCACTTGCTCACAACTTTAATGCCAGTAGCTCACAAAGTAGAATTTTTGCTCACAAGACTCCAGAGCTTAGAGGGAACATTGCTTGTAAGAGCTTGGAAGTGAAGCAGGGTTGGCCATGGTTAGCACTCCGGTGGGAGACCACTCAGGAAGCCCAGGTTTGCTATGCAGAGGAAGGCAATGGCCAATCACCTCTGCTCATCTCTTGAAAACCCCAGGGTTCTGGGGTTGCCATGAGTCGGTTGCAGGGGTCATTTCATAGAAAAAGAGCTAGGGGAACTCATTAGCATAACTCATTAGCATATGCCACATCCCCTGACATCAGGGGCCCGGCGGTGGACCTGCAAGGCCATGCGTGCTCCAGCCACGGACCGGGAGTCCCCCGGTAAGTACATTTTTCGACTTGGCAACCCTACCTAAAGCAGAAGGCCCGAAATTGCCCGTGTGTTGCTTCAGCAGATCTACAAACAACTTGCCTGTCAGTGCGCATGCAAACAACTCAGGGTCAGCATTAACAGGCAGCATTACTGGACATCTGCTGAGGACCAACACCCAGTGAAGAGCCCACCAAAGATTAGGGTTACTCGGTTGTGACTTGACAGCACATAATTATTATTTATTACACACAACATATGTAAAGTAAAGGTTTCCCTTGCTCGAAAGCCAGTTGAATCCGGCTCTAGAGATGCGGTGCTCATCTCCTTTTCCAAGACGAAGAGCCAGCACTGTCCGAGGACATTTGTGGTCATGTGGCCAGCATGACTAGACGCCGAGGAACACGGAACGCTGTTACCTTCCCACCAAAGTGGTACCTATTTATCTACTTAAAATTTCTTGCTTTCGAACTGCTAGGTTGGCAGGAGCTGGGACCAGAGACGGGAGCTCACTCCGTCATGCGGCACTCGGGTCTTGAACTACTGAACTACTGACCTTCCAGTTCAGCATCTTAACCACTTGAGCCACCGCAGCCAACATATGTAGGGACAAGCTAAGACTACAGGGTAGTCTATTTTTCCTGCAATGCAGGGGGGGGGGGCCCACGCAATCAATTCACTTACCTGCAATGGACTATGATTGCAGCCTTGGGCAACCCCGTCGTCCCTGAAGTGTAGATGTAAAATAGTTTATCTAGAAGGCAAAACGAGGAGGAGATACAGGGTCATTCAAACCTACGATATCCGTATAATGCTGACTTACTGATAAATGCTGAAAACAATTGGTAAGCAGAAACAGAAAGTGGCACAAAATAACCACAAGCTTAATTCACACACACACACACAGCCAAACTGAAACAGGGCTTTTCTAGCCAAAGCAGCAGAGATGAGAGAATCTGAGATCAATCTTAATTTCAAAACCTAGTTGTTTTCATTCCCAGTCATCCCCCAACTGCAAACATAGTCGTGAACTGGCCTAGTAATTGGTGTGCACATTTGCAAGGCTGGCTCTAAAGCTGGTATTCTGGCACTCGGATGTCTAAACTCTCAGAATTAATATGCAGGCATAGCCCGAGTCCCTCCGGGTTTCAAGAGCAACTACTCCAACTGAGGAAGGGTCAATCCAGCGATTATGCTGCCCCAACCTGAAGTACTGACTCACTCCACCAAAAGGCCAAGCTAGATGTTACTTCTGTCGCAAGCCAGCTGCTTGGGAGCCCCTGATCCATCCTATAGACAGTGGGGAACTAGCATTTTCCCAAGTGCTCCGGGGCCCCATTTGTCTTGGGAACACGGTGCAGGGGGAGGAGCTTCAGCCTTCCACTCATGCTGATTTCAGAGCCTTTTTCCTTTCCTTCCTTCTGCTGAAAAGCCACATGGGCTGAAACAGAGCAACCGACTGATACTACCATGTTTTCTGAGCCTAAACTCATCCTTCCTTTGTGATGTGTTCCTGAGCCAAATTGGGCCCCAAAGCACTTGGGAACATTAGTTCCCCAACATCACATCTGTCAGTAAAACAGGTCAGAGACCCCAGATCTTATTAGTGGCAGACGTACTGTCTAGTTTGTCCCTAAGATTATCTTCTAAACAGTCTTCTAAATTCCCAACAGATCAAGAGCATATTATTTATTTACAGATATTAAACCAATAAGAACAGATTGACTTTTATTTGAGAGACTATTTGCAATACAGTAAGGAATAGCAGAAACGTAGTGTATACAAGGAAATCCCAGAAAGCACAGGTGCATGCATGGAAAACAAGCCATGAACAGTGAATACAGAAGTTGATATTTTGGCACACATGGTCTTTCCAGCGACTTAGAAGTTTGTGGGAGTTCGTAGGGAAACAGTCCATGGGTGGGAGAACAGTTCTAGGCCCTGGTCTCACTTGATCTTAGCCAAAACGACGACTGAGGGGTGACATGATTGAGGTTTATAAGATTATGCATGGGACAGAGCAGGTAGAGAAAGAGGTACTTTTCTCCCTTTCTCACAATACAAGAACTCGTGGGCACTCCATGAAATTGCTGAGCAGTTGGGTTAGAACGGATAAAAGGAAGTACTTCTTCACCCAAAGAGTGATTAACACTTGGAATTCACTGCCACAGGAAGTGGTGGCGGCTACAAGCATGGACGGCTTCAAAAGGGAATTAGATAAGCATATGGAGCAGAGGTCCATCAGTGGCTATTAGCCACAAGGTATAGATAGGGACTCTGGGGCAAGTGATGCTCTATCATCTTGGTGCTTGGGGGGGTCAACAGTGGGATGGCTTCTAATGTCCTGGCCCCACTGCTGGACCTCCTGATGGCACTGGTATTTCTGGCCACTGTGTGATACAGAGTGTTGGACTGGATGGGCCTTTGGCCTGATCCAACATTGGCGTCTCTTATGTTCTTAAAATATCTACATGTAAGCAGGACGGAAAGAATAAACAGCTGGAACAAAAGTAGCAGAGGATGCCCTTTGTTGGTTTTTGGAACTCAAAACACTCTACAGAATCAGTAAGGAATGAATTATTAAATTGGATAAGAAATATAAACATCGTGTAAATTCAGATGGGAAGGAAAATTTAGATATAGCTAAATCAGATATACAGAACAGATATTAGTTTAGGTAGTAGATAATTTGGATTAGTACTTCTGTATTAGTGCCTTGGATTAGGTACTTTGTATTTTGTAAAGAAATGGCAGCTTAATACATTATCTTTAAAAAAATGTGCAATGGCAAACTTCTGTATGAAGAATGGGAGAGCCTTTTTGGAAGTGGAACAGTTATCATTTAAAATATAGCAGGGTGCCAACCAATGCTCCCTCTATGCTGTGGAGTCTTGTGAGCAAAAATTCTACTTTGTGAGCTACTGGCCTTAAGGTTGTGAATGAGCAATTTGGCTACTGCATCAATTAGTTTGCTCTGGAGCCCTCCTTCCTGAGCTAAGACAAAAATGTGTGAGCTGGAGGCTAAAAAACTGTGAGCAAGCTCACGCTAACTCAGCTTAGAGGGAACACTGGTGCCACCAACCCCCCTCCCCAAAGAAATGGCAGCACTCCAAATTTCACCCCCCTGGCCAACCCAACACAGCCCACCCAAGATTCCTCCACGCTCAGGGTGGCTCTTTCAAGAACAGTGGGACCTTGATTATGTTTAGGGTTGCCAGCTCTGGGTTGGGAAATACTTGGGAGATTTTGGGGTGGAGCCTGGGGAGGGCCCTCAACAGGGTATCGTGCCACAGAGACCACTCTCCAAAGCAGCCATTTTCTCCAGGGGAACTGATCTTGGTGGTCTGGAGGATCAACTGTAACAGTGTGAGATTCCCAGGGGTGACATGGAGGTCGGCAACCTTAATTATGTCGAAGGATGCACTCCTGTGCGTAATACTCAAGAGACAGGGCCATTCAGTAAAGTGGGGCTTGCATTGAAGTTACATGCATCTAGGATTATATTTAAAATGCTGGAAAAACTGGCCCTTTAACAACAGCACTGTAACGATTTCATGTTTAACTCTGTGTGTGTGTCTTTAAAAGTTTGGATGCATAGCTGTGTGAAAGTCTAGTGTGGTTGAAACAGGCAAGTGGTGTGATTGGTGAGTGACAGAGAGGGGGAGGGGTTTTGGAAATGATTCTGTGTGGATGAGCAGATATGTCAGTCAAGAGTTACCGTTAAGACAGTTAGTGAGATGAAACAAAAGTTGAAACAAAAAGAAACAGTAACCGTATGTGGCCTAAGGAAAATACTGTTACAAAGTGACATGCCCAGATCCCTGTCAGTAAGAGGGAAAAGTGTGTGAAATATCAAATAAATCTACTTTTATTTAAGAAGAAGAAGAAGAAGAGATTGGATTTATACCCCACCCTTCACTTGGAGTCTCAGAGCGGCTTACAAACCCCTTTCCCTTCCCCTCCCCACAACAGACACCCTGTGAGGTGGGTGGGGCTGAGAGAACTCTGACACAAACTGCTCTTTTTCAAGGACAGCTGTGCCAGAGCTTGTGACTCACCCAGATACCAGTTCTTAAAGAAATTCTTCCCAGGAAACACATAGTTCCTCGAAAGCCTAAAATTTCGATCCACCTACCCTGTGATAGGAATATTATAGGAAAAGGTTTGGAAAGCCTTATAAAATTTCCTGGTGGCAGCCGGATACCCAAAGTAAAATAAAATAAAAGGAACACTTTTAAAGTAAAACCAGACCTCCCCAGTTAAGGGGTCGTCACAAGCACAAAATGGAAAATTGACCTGATGCTCCCCTTAAACAACTTCATTCAGTAGGGTTGCCACCTTCGGGATGGGAAATTCTTCAAGATTTGGGGCTGGAGCCTGGGGAGGGCAGGGTTTTGAGGGAGGCGGGACCTCAGCAGGGTATAATCCACCCTCCAAAGCAGCCATTTTCTCCAGGCAAACAGAGATCGGTTGTAATTGCAGGGGATCTCCAGGCCCCACCTGGAGGTTGGCAACTATCCCTAAGGCAAATGCTCATTATTAGAAAGGAAAAGCTGTTGAGCCGTCCACTGATCTTTTTCTCTCTTTTGTATGTGTGTGTGCGCATGCGCATGTGTGTGCACATGGAAGTCATGTTGACATCTGGTGACTGACCCCCCTGGGGGATATTCAGAGAGGTGGATGGATAAAGCCTGCCCCTGCCTCCAAGCTGCTGGTATTTCAAGGAAGTCTCCCATCCAAGTACTAACCACAGTTGACCCTGCTTAGCTTCCGAGATCTGGCGAAATCTAGCTTGCCTGGGCTATCTAGGTCAGGGATACAATGGATAGGTTTCTGGTGAGTAATTCAGCGATGCTGAAACACACACTAACACTTGCCTGGGTGGAAGCCCCAGTGAATAGACCTTGGCAGGATTCGAAATAGGCCTGCACAGGGCTTTTTTTGTAGAAAAAGCCCAGCAGGAACTCATTAGCATAATAGGCCACACCCAACAGCAGAAACTCATTAGCATATTAGGCCACACCCATGACAGCACAGCTCATTGGCATATTAGGCCACACCCCCATGTTACCAGAAGTGTGCTCATCCAGCCACACCCACCTTTTGCTTCTTATTCTGTTTACCTTGTTTGTTGTCCAAACCCAGGGCTTTTTTGTAGCAGGAACTCCTTTGCATGTTAGGCCACACACCCCTAATGTAGCCAATCCTAATGAGTTTCTGCCGTTGGGTGTGGCCTATTATGCTAATACGTTCCTGCTGGGCGTGGCCAACTTGGAAGCCAGCCGGAACTCCGTTCCTGTGCGTTCCTGCCCAAAAATAGCCCTGGGCCTGCATAGGATTCCTCCCTTGAGTCTGAAGACGCTTGTGTTGCCCATGAGGAAACCACCCTTTATTTCTGGAAGCCCTGCCTGGGAACATGTAGCCACCCCACCTAGCACGGTAGCCCAGGGGCTTTGGCCTCTCCTCCTCATCTGCGCATACCTAAGAACCCTTTCGGTGACGGAGGCGGTGGATCACGAGATGCTTTTTCCACCAGAGGGTCCAGATGTTTTGTGCCTGGAGGGACCCGGTCTTCTTTCCAGTCGCCGGAACAGAAGAGGAGAAGGGATTTCGCCAGTGAAGACTGAACCTCTTGCATGGCTAGGAAAGAAGAACGAATATTAGAGGAAAATGCCAAAGCTGCGCCTGCCTCTGAATTACCGGATTCTCCATATTCTGCACCATCCAGGGTCACCTAAAGGCCTCCCAGGCCTTTAATAGTGGTCTGATCAGCAGAAATCAGAAAGCAAAACTTTTCCTGGCCAGGAGCTAAACCAGACCACTGCTCTTTGCTGCAGATCATACTGCTGGTTGAAAAGTCGGCTATCCCATGCCAAAAGAGTGAGAGAGCAACTAGACAATCTGTAGGAGATCCATGACTGGATTAAAGAAACAGAAATGGCAGCTGCATAGCGACTTGATTTAGACCAGGGCTGATGGGGAGAGGGTTTTGTTCCACTACTCCTACAGATGTTTTGCCAGTCAAAACCCCACTGCTGGACCTCCTGATGGTACCTGGTATTTCTGGCCACTGTGTGACAGAGTGTTGGTCTGGATGGGCCTTAGACCTGATCTAACATTGGCTCGTGAATGTAGTCACAATGAACTTTGTACACCAATATGCCACCAATATGCAGTGTAGCTGCTTTTTTTGGTAACTGGAGATTATGATTGAAGTTTACCGTACGTGAAGACATCTTACCAAAGTATGAGTTTGTGCATATTACTATCTCATGCTGTGTCAATGTTAAATAAAAAGTAATACTGAAAAGGAACACCGTTCCTGTGCGTTCCTGCCCAAAAATAGCCCTGGGCCTGCATAGGATTCCTCCCTTGAGTCTGAAGACGCTTGTGTTGCCCATGAGGAAACCACCCTTTATTTCTGGAAGCCCTGCCTGGGAACATGTGGCCACCCCACCTAGCACGGTAGCCCAGGGGCTTTGGCCTCTCCTCCTCATCTGCACATACCTAAGAACCCTTTCGGTGACGGAGGCGGTGGATCACGAGATGCTTTTTCCACCAGAGGGTCCAGATGTTTTGTGCCTGGAGGGACCCGGTCTTCTTTCCAGTCGCCGGAACAGAAGAGGAGAAGGGATTTCGCCAGTGAAGACTGAACCTCTTGCATGGCTAGGAAAGAAGAACGAATATTAGAGGAAAATGCCAAAGCTGCGCCTGCCTCTGAATTACCGGATTCTCCATATTCTGCACCATCCAGGGTCACCTAAAGGCCTCCCAGGCCATTAATAGTGGTCTGATCAGCAGAAATCAGAAAGCAAAACTTTTCCTGGCCAGGAGCTAAACCAGACCACTGCTCTTTGCTCCAGATCATACTGCTGGTTGAAAAGTCAGCTATCCCATGCCAAAAGAGTGAGAGAGCAACTAGACAATCTGCAGGAGATCCATGACTGGATTAAAGAAACAGAAATGGCAGCTGTATAGCGACTTGATTTAGACCAGGGCTGATGGGGAGAGGCTTTTGTTCCACTACTCCTACAGGAGTTTTGCCAGTCAAAACCCCATGCTGCTGTTAGCCTTGGAAAGCACCCATGTACCCCCTTTTCCCATACCTTCCAATAGCAAAACCATGCAGGGCTGAAAGAATTATTCTCTCTCTCCCTCCCCACTGGGGTGGCTGCTATTTTAAAAGACCACCTGATCACAGACCTTCCAGTTATCTTATCTACTTAGGCAGCTAAATGGCCACTGATGGATCTCTGCTCCATATCTATATATCTAATAGCCAAGTTGCGCCCCCCCCCCCGTGCGGATATCTAAATCCGCACATCGGGGGTCCCTGGGGGGCAGGGAGATTTCCCTGCACATTTGGGGCAATCTCCAGTTGTACAGAAAAATCTAAAAACTGTAACAAAACGATAGAGGGGATACTTAAATCGTCCTGCGGGCCAGCCTTGCCGCCACTTGGCAGGCCAGCCGCCACTGGGGGGGAAGGGGGGAGGGAAAAGGCTGGGCTCACCTGCTGCCGCGTCTCCTGCTTCTGTAGGAGCTGCGGGGAATCCCCCCCCCCCCGGCGAGTATTGTGGGTCCCGCCTCTTGTGCTTATCTAATTCCCTCTTGAAGCTGCCCATGCTTTTCTTTAGGACCACATTTCATTAACTCACTAGCAGTCCTAAACTATGATTTTTAAATTTCGGGTTTTTATGTATTTTATCTGTATTATAAGCCGCCCTCAGCTCCATATGGAAGAAAGGAAGCAAATAAATAAGCAGTAAGACACATAAATAAAATGTCCAACTGCAAAGCAAGAACAATGGCCGCTTTTCTTCCCTGGTGGGCCAGGCCCTTCGTTAATTATCGGCACAGATGTAATTTAGGTTTCTGCAGGGGTCATTTCGTAGAAAAAGAGCTAGGGGAACTCATTAACATAACTCATTAGCATATGCCACACCCCCTGACATCAGGGGCCCGGCGGTGGACCTGCAAGGCCAGCGGGAGTGCGAGGAAGCCCCGCCAAGGCCCTCCCTGGCCCCAGGCAGGCATGGGTGGGGAGAGGCGAGGAGGAAGCAACTTACCCTCCCTCTTCTCCTGCCTCCTCCTGGCTGAATGAGGGCTGGAAGCGGGGTGGCCGGAAGCAGGGGGCGGGGCTTCATCATGTGCCCCGCCCCCCTGCACCTCACCCGGGGGAACTGTGTTCCCCCGCGATCCCCCCCGAAATGACCTCTGGGTTTCTGATTTCTTGCGCAGTATGTTTCGGACCCAGCCAGCCACCGCAAACTCCGTCCCTCACTCTCCCCTGATCTCCCTGTGCCTCACCTTCGTTCAGCTCACTCCCAAACACGGCCGCTTTCGACTGGGAGATGCTGATGCAGTGCAGCAAAGACTCCTTCCGCACGTGAGAGTTCACGAGAGCCGCCTCCACTCCGATCTTGGCCATGCCAAGCCACAGACCGACAAACTTGTTGCAAGATTCCATGAACAAGGTGACTACATCCCCGGAGCGGAAGCCCTGCCCGTACAGGAAGTTGGCCACTTTGTTAGAGTACTCATCGAGTTCCCGAAAGGTCCAGGATTCGTCTGTCCCTTGGAAAACGAGAGCCACTTTCTCCGGATGTCTTTGCACTGTCTGCTGGAACAGCGTGGGGATGGTGTACTTCTGTCTCACGTACCACCAAACTCTCATTCGCGTCTGCAGGACGATGAGCCCCGTGCTGGCAAAACAGAGGCATAGTCGTTGCATAGTCGTGTCCGACTCTTCGCGACCCCATGGACTAGATCCCGCCAGGCCCTCCTGTCTTCCGCTATCCTCTGAAGTTTGCTCAGTTTCATGTTCGTTGCATCTCTGACACTGTCTAACCATCTCATCCTTTGCCGTCCCCGTCTTCTTTGACCTTCAATCTTTCCCAGCATCAGGGTCTTCTCCAGTGAGTGCTCCCTTCTCATTTGGTGGCCAAAGTATTTGCGCTTCAGTTTCATTATCTGGCCTTCCAGGGAACAGTCAGGGTTGATTTCTTTGAGGATTGACATTCCAATTTCATACAGCATTTAAGGCAATAACAGCTCTCGAATAAAAAATATTTTTTAATCTATTTGTCCTTGCTTTGATTGTCCTAATAACTTCTGCCCGAAGGCAGCAGTTCAAACAGGGAATGTTCAGGATGTGACAAGTCCTGCAAAATGTTCTTTGCTTTTTTCAAACATCGAGAACTATACAATTCCTCCAGGAATGGGAGAGGGCCCCCCCCCCCCGCCGCCAAATAAACCCTCTCTTTCTGGATTCTACAAATTCTCAGGAGCTTGAACAGGATTGATTCCCCCCCTTCCCCCTGCCCCAGTTTGCTTTTCCCTGACTCTCAGCTGCTCTCAACATCCCACGCCTCTTGGGGCACTGATTCCCCCCCCTTCCCCTGCCCCAGTTTGCTTTTCCCTGACTCTCAGCTGCTCTCAACATCCCACGCCTCTTGGAGCATACTCAGTCCTGTCCTCATCAGGTGTTTTTTAAAGGCTTCTCTTCTCCTTTTTGGTAATTTACAAAGTCTTCTTTTTCTGCATACCTAGGGAGTCCCCCCTGAGCAAACAGAAGCCCCTTTCTTGTCTGAGGGTGGGCTTGCTTTCGCTTCATTGGCCCGGGGCCACCATTAAATACAGCAATCGCCTGGACGAGGACCATCATACATTCAGCTCACAAACCTAGCTCCATTAAGCCACATAGAGCATCCAGGCTGGCTCCTGCTGATAAGCACCCGGTTCTTCCTGCCATGCACAGACACCAGCCCAAACACATATTCAACTCCCTGTCACATGTTGCTTTACCTAACAGAAACTGTGAGGTTGCACTGGTTTTAAGAGAGTTGCCCTCCTTTTAAAGACTATCTGTCCCTCCTTTTTTCACTTAAACAAGTATGAAGCCAAACAGTCGTGATAGTCTGACCCACAATCAAACAGTCATAAGACTTATAAAGAATGCTGTTTATGTATTGCAATCTAAAGCACTGTAACATGATACACAACGTCGTCTCCGGATTACATTACAACGTTTCAAAAAATGAATCTTCTTCAGGAGATATTCTGTAGTGTACAAAAATACAATTTTTAGAATATGTGCTACACCAATAACAAGAGACAAGAGACAATACAATAATCTTAGTGCTTACTTACATAGTGGTGCCAAAGCTCTCAGTTTCATAAATGTTAGACAACAAGTCTTAAGAATCTGTAACATAGTAATATTACCTTTGTTATGAACACATGCAAAATATTTCAAATTACAACTAATCAACCTAGTACTAAGATTATTGTATTGTCTCTTGTTATTGGTGTAGCACATATTCTAAAAATTGCATTTTTGTACACTACAGAATATCTCCTGAAGAAGATTCATTTTTTGAAACGTCGTTATGTAATCCGGAGACGACGTTGTGTATCATGTTACAGTGCTTTAGATTGCAATACATAAACAGCATTCTTTGTAAGTCTTATGACTGTTTGATTGTGGGTCAGACTATCACGACTGTTTGGCTTTATACTCGTTTAACTGATTGGGTCGTGTGTGTCCTCTTTTTTTCACACCATGGAAATCACCCTGTCTGACAGTGCCTTCCCCATATGCTGCTGATCACACCCCAAAAGATACCAACTGCTTCCCGTATATCAAGTCTCCCCGAGGTTTGGGGTTTTTTCTCCTCAAGACCTAGTTCTGCCAGATCAGAGGCAGTTCCTTGGAGTCGGATGAGGCAAACTGCCCTCTGAGAGTTGACTCCCGTCAGTGACATCTGGGTGGCAGCAATGCGGGTGATCTGAAGTCCAAAGTGCAGCCTGGCACCAAGGAGTGCGCCAAACGAGACTCAGACCTTTGCCCAGAAAAGCAGACAAGATGCGATTCCTAGCAGGAAGACAGAAGCTCCTGCCTCACTACAGGGCCATTTCACACCTTACAAAGCAGCAAGCCCACAGTTTCTGTAGATCATGAAATCAGTCGCGTCTTTACACACACCCATCACAGCCACAAGCGACATTTTTAGATCTATTTTAGATTTTTTTTTTAAGTAACACACAAAGTGACCCTGAACAGAAGAAACTGACATATACGCTGGCCCAGCAGGATAGTCAAAAACACAGACAGATTTCTCATGTGCCTCTAAAAGTGCTTTTGAAGTTCTCTCTCCCGTGGTTGGTGTGTACATATAGAAGGCAGGAATGTTCTTTCAAATCCTCTTCCAACAAGAAGGTGGGTTTACATCTGCATTTAAACCTTTCTGCTACTTCACGCATCCTATCAATAGATGCGTCCTTTGAAGTAGCATGGGTTGTTTTGTTTTTTTAAAAGACTTCTAGACTTCTAGATCAGCATCTCTTCAAATAAAATTGTATATATATTTAGGAGGGTTTTTCCCTTATTTTTAACCTCTCCTGATGCAGAAAGCGTTGAAGAGCCTCAGTCGGTTTCACTGGTGATGGGAAATCTTAACCCATCCGTTCTTTTCTCTGCCTTCATTCCTGATGCTGTGCCCAGAAAGTGAGAGGGATTTGGAGGCAGGTTCCTTCACAGGTACACACAGTAATCTTTTAATTAAAAGGGGACAAATAGAACGATAGAACTGCTGGCTGGTGAGACAACAAACAATCACCAAAGCAAGGAGTACCCACTAGCTAAGCTCAAGTCCCAGAACCAGGGGTCATTTCCTGCAGGAGCGCACAGGAGCAGAGCTCCGGCATTTTGTTTCAATGGGGGGGGGGAAATGACATCAACACAAGGCACAAGGAGCCAAATGGACCTGAACACCCACGTCCAGCTTTTGCAGAGTCTTAAGAAGGATCTGCGTTCTAGGAAAGCCATGCTAGGAAGGGGAGCGCGCGTTCGTTACGCCCACACGACACTCACCTGATGTCTCGACGCCCCGTTTTGATGACTATCCGAAGGAATCGCCACCCACCAGAGCCCAAGTAGAATATCAACAGAGCTGGAATCACTTGGAGCCAAGGAAGTCCCAAAGCTAGCCGGAAAATTATGAAGAGCAGGAGGAGGGCAACCAGATGCAACATCTTGGCCTGAGGAAAGAGAAGGAAATGCTCTTCAGCATGGCTTCCTTGCAAACCCGCCAACCCAGAAAAGCTGTTTTGGACCTATGCTGGACTAGGGATAAAGACCGAAGAACGAAACAAGCCGGGGGGCGTCTCACGTACTGAAGGCAACAGGCAGCTTTCCGATCCTAGCTTGTTGTGCTCACAAACGCAGCGACCTTCGGCCTTACAAATGTCTCTCCGCTGCTTCGCTTCACTTCAGTTTCTCCAAACAGAGATAACACTATAGGGACCATAACCTAAAAGAGCAACAAGATTAAAAAAAAAAAAGATCAGATAGAAGAAAGTCCAAGGGCAACCCCTGATTATTGATTGCCATCTCAGCCTCTGAAACATTGGCGGCTTGTCTCCACCCACGCTGGGAACGGCTGTTGGTTTTATGTAGACCAAATCTCCCTCAAACCTCTCCCGAGTTGCTCATCTGTTTACTTTTCCGGAGATGAAAATGGGGATATTGATTATCATTCTATCTAATTCTGAACCAGGATATGGAGTGTGGCTCAAGAAATTTACACAATGAGACTAGGCACAGACAGAGTTATCGCTTTACGAGCCTGGGGAAAGACCCAGGGAGTTGCAGAAAAATATGAAAAGTAAAACACACACGCAGGGTATTAGAATTTTGGGGGGTTGCTAAGCAATCGGCAATCAACATTACTGAAGATTTCAAGCCTCAGAGTAAGGATGGGGAGAAAGAGACCCTTAGAAAAGGCAACAGACAGGAGGGAGGGAAGGTAAAGCTAGACAGGAAAACAGGTGAAGAAGAAGAAGAGATTGGATTTATACCCCGCCCTTCACTACCCAAAGGAGTTTCAGGGTGGCTTGCAAACTCCTTTCCCGTCCCCTCCCCACAACAGACACCCTGTGAGGTAGGCAGGGCTGAGAGAGCACTTGACAGAAACTGCCCGTTCAAGGACAGCTCTGACAGAACCATGGCTTGCCCAAGGTCATCCAGCAGCTGCAAGCGGAGGAGTGGGGAATCAAACCCAGTTCTCCCAGATTAGAGTCCGCGCACTTAACCACGTTACATACCAAGATGCATCCTCCACCACCACTCAGAGAATGAACTTCTAGAGATTGAAGTGAGGGGAGCTAACCCCTGAAAAAGGTACGCTCTAGCAACCACACTTGCAAAATCCCAGCAACAAGGGAGAAAAATAAGGAGAGCGATTTAAGGTCCGGGACCAGAAGATCTACACTGTCCAGCATAAATACAGACTCTGAGCATGTAGCTGCTTCCACTAGGAATATTTTGTGGGAAGCCCCCACCCCACCCCAAGTGTAATAACATCAACCCTTGCACTACTTCGGTGAGTCTTTGGTATCATGGAATGTGTATATTCAAGCCACTTAACAATTAGGGCTACTAGCCTCCAGGCGGCTATTACAACCGATACAGAGATACAGTTTGCCTGAAGAAAACAGCCACCATGGAAGATGGACTCTATGGCATTTTACCCAACTGAAGTCTCTCCCCGTCCCCAAACCCCACCCTCTTCATGCTCCACCCCAAAATTTCCCAGGTATTTCCCAACCTGAAGCTGCAACTTGACTTGACATGGATTAGTTGAGCAAGGGTAGGCCTTTCGTTTAAGTGTCCTCTTTATAACGTGGCGTTTCTCTTGAACACGGGGACCTACAAGCCTCGTGGGAGGGTGGGTTGCGCCCCCCCCAGCTATGCCTCACACTTAAGCACTCTGTTGTCTGACAGCCTCAGAAGCAGGAGAGAGGGAGCTAGCTGTCACCTACGCTCTACTCTTCCACCTCCAGCCTTACCTGTTGCAGCATCAGGCGCTTAAAGCCTAGGATATCCGCAGCCACCTTTTAATCTCAGCCCCAGGAACTGCACCTGTCTTGACCCCGCCCCTGCTCTCTTGTGATTGGCTGCTGCCTCTCATGGGAGGAGGCCCAATTATTCTTCTCTATGAGCTTCCCTCTTAAAAGCCCACTGTGGACCAATGCTCCCTCTAAGGTGTGGAGTCTTGTGAGCAAAAATTCTACTTGGTGAGTTACCGGCATTAAAGTCGTGAGCGACTTGGTACTGCATAAATTAGTTTGCTCTGGAGCCCTCCTTCCTGAGCTAAGACAACAATGTGTGAGTCAGAGGCTAAGAAACTGTGAGCTGGCTCACACTAACTCAGCTGAGAGGGAACACTGCTGTGGACCCTGGCCCTGCTTGGATTTCTTGTCTTCCTCTTCCGGACAGTATCCTGCCACCGAACAGCCTGTTTCTCCTCTTTGCCCTTTCTTTCCTTACCACTAGGGTTGCCAGCTCCAGGTTGGGAAATACCTGGAGATTTTGAGGGTGGAGCCCAGGGTTGCCACCAGTGTTCCTTCTAAGCTGAGTTAGTGTGAGCTTGCTCACAGTTGTTTAGCCTCCAGCTCACACATTTTCGTCTTAGCTCAGGAAGGAGGGCTCCAGAGTAAACTGATTGATGCAGCAGCCAAATCGCTCACCCACAACTTTAACGCCAGTAGCTCACAGAGTGGAATTTTTGCTCACAAGTTTCCACAGCTAAGAGGGAGCATTGGTTGCCATCCCCTAGTGGGGCCAGGGGATCCCCCGATTTCGGGGGCCTCAATCCGCCACCAGCCAGCTGGCTGGCGAGGGAAGCCCCACCCCCGAACAGCAGCACCCTGCGGGGATGCCACTGATGCAATGACATCATCGTGTCAGGTCACAGGGAGCATCACACGGCGACGCTCTAGCATCCGGAGGGAGCTCTATGGTTACCATAGAGTTTTGCCCCAAATGCTAGAGTGTCGCGGTGCAGAAAAATCCTGACGAGGAGCCCGGAGCCCCCCGCCGCAGGTAAGAAGAGACCTGGCAACCCTAGTGGAACCTGAAGAGGGCAGATATGGGGAGTGGAGGGACTACAATGGGGTAGAATGCCAGAATCCAACCTTCAATGCAGCCATTTTCTCCAGGTGAAATGATCTGTCACCTGGAGATCCCAGGAGACCTACAGCTGCCACCCGGAGGTTGGCGACAACACTACTTCTGAGTGGATGCATTCTTCCTAGAGTGCACAGGGACATTATTGTTCACACATGAATTATACGGCACCATGAAGCGCGCACACAAAGCCATTTCATAAGCTGCAGTCAGCAAGGTCCGTTGCACACTGTTAAGGACTATTACAGACTATTGCAAGAACTATTACAGACTATTGCATTCATAAAGGAAGCATACTTGAAGATCTGGACACATCACTGGAAAACAGAATGGGTGCTCATCCCTCGGAAGAGACTGTTTCATCGTGCCTTGATCAATCTGTTCAAAGGGATAAAACGTCTGCATTGTTCACCAGTCGTCTGCCCAGCGGCTTCTCAAGTACTCCTGAACCAGCGTATTGCAAGTAAACGACAGCGTTTCCTGTTTGCATCTGTGAAATGCTGGAGGTTATCTGCTTGTGCTGATCCTGAACTATGCACAGCAAACAATTCTTTTTCCTCCCTCGCTACCACCATCTTAAAGGAAGGCTATGATGTCCTTTTTAACCCCCTCATGGATCACTGCCTTGTCGTGGCGAGGGGGCTTGCGCAGTTCAATGAAGCTGTGGGCTATGCCGTGAAGGGCCACCCAAGACGGACAGGCCACAGCAGAGAACTCAGACCAAGCGTGATCCACCTGGAGAAGGAAATGGCAACCCACTCCAGTATTTTTGCCAAGAAAACCCCATGGACAGTATCAAAAGGCTAAAAGATATGACGCCGGAAGATGAGCCCCTCAGGTCGGAAGGTGTCCAATATGCTACTGAGGAAGAGCAGAGGACAAGTACAAGTAACCCCAGAAAGAGTGAAGCGGCTGGGCCAAAGCCGAAAGGACCCTCAGTTGTGGATGTGTCTGATGGTGAAAGGAAAGTCCAATGCTGCAAAGAACAATACTACATAGGAACCTGGAATGTAAGATCTATGAATCAAGGTAAGCTTGACGTGGTCAAAAATGAGATGGCAAGACTGAACATCGATATCCTAGGAATCAGTGAACTAAAGTGGACAGGAATGGGCGAATTTAACTCAGAAGACCATTATATCTACTACTGTGGCCAGGAATCTCGTAGAAAAAATGGTGTGGCCTTTATAGTCAACAAGAGAGTGCAAAAGGCAGTACTGGGATACAATCTCAAAAATGACAGAATGATTTCTGTCCGATTCCAAGGCAAACCATTCAACATCACAGTAATCCAAGTCTATGCCCCAACCACTGATGCAGAAGAGGCTGAAGTGGACCGGTTCTATGAAGACCTACAACACCTCCTAGAACTAACACCAAAAAATGATGTCCTCATCATCATAGGGGACTGGAATGCTAAAGTAGGAAGTGAAAAGGTAACTGGAATAACAGACAAGTTTGGCCTTGGAAAGCAAAATGAAGCAGGGCAAAGGTTAACAGAGTTTTGTCAAGAGAACACACTGGTCATAGCGAACACCCTTTTCCAACAACCTAAGAGGCGACTCTACACATGGACATCACCAGATGGGCAACACCGAAATCAGATTGACTATATAATTTGCAGTCAAAGATGGAGAAGCTCTATCCAGTCAGTAAAAACAAGACCTGGAGCTGACTGTGGTTCAGATCATGAGCTACTCATTGCAAAATTCAGACTTAAACTGAAGAAAATTGGGAAAACCACGAGGCCATTCAGGTTTGACCTAGATCGCATCCCTGATGAATATACAGTAGAGGTGAAGAATAGATTCAAGGGTCTGGATTTGATAGATAGAGTGCCTGAAGAACTATGGACAGAGGTTCGTGACATCGTACAGGAGGCAGCAATCACCACCATACCAAAGAAAAAGAAATGCAAGAAAGCAAAATGGCTTTCTGATGAGGCTTTACAAATAGCAGAGGAAAGAAGGAAAGCGAAAGGCAAAGGCGAAAAGGAAAGATTTACCCAACTGAACGCAGATTTCCAGAGAACAGCAAGGAGAGATAAGGAGGCCTTCCTGAATGAACAGTGCAAAGTAATAGAAGAAAACAATAGAATGGGAAGGACTAGAGATCTCTTCAAGAAAATTGGAGAAATCAAGGGAGCGTTCCATGCAAAGCTGGCCATGATAAAGGACAAAAACGGTAGGGACCTAACAGAAGCAGAAGAGATTAGGAAAAGATGGCAAGAATACACAGAAGAACTATACAAGAAAGACCTCAATGTCCTTGACAAACACGACGGTATAATCACTGACCTTGAGCCAGACATCCTGGAATGTGAAGTTAAATGG